GTCTGCAGAGAGAAAGAGTAGAAATGCAGAAAGCATTAGAGTTGGAAAGACAAGCGAGAGAAAGAGCTCTGGAGCAGGAGAGGTTGGAAAGGGAGAGAGCTTTGGAAGCTGAGAGAAGGGAGAGGGAAAGGATTGCACGGGAGATGGCGTTGGAGCAGGAAAGGCTTGAAAAAGTGAGGTTGGAGCAAGAGCGAGTAGAAAGAGAAAAGGCCCTGGAGAAAGAGAGGCTAGAGATGGAGAGAGCCTTGGAGCGGGAAAGAATAGAGAAGGAGATGGCTTTAGAACGTGAGAGGATTGAGAGAGAGAAAGCTTTGGAGCAGGAGAGGTTGGAGAAGGAGAGGCTGGAGAAAGAGAGGGCTCTCGAGCAAGAGAGGTTGGAGAAGGAGAAGCTGGAGAAGGAGAAGGCTCTCGAGCAAGAGAGGTTAGAGAAGGAGAGGGCTCTCGAGCAAGAGAGGTTGGAGAAGGAGAGGCTGGAGAAGGAGAGGGCTCTTGAGCAAGAGAGGTTGGAGAAGGAGCGAGCTATTGAGCAAAAGAGGCTGGAGAAGGAGCGAGCTCTTGAGCAAGAGAGGCTGGAGAAAGAGTTAGCTCTCGAGCAGGAGTGGAAAGAAAAAGAAAGAATTGAAAGAGAGAGGTTGGAACAAGAGAGGATAGACAAGGAAAAGGCCCTGGAACGTGAAAGAGAGGAAAAGGCGAGAGCAGCAGCTCTAGAAGAGAAAAGGAAAGAGAAGGAAAAGGCAGAAAAAGAAGAAAGGGCAAGACTAGAGAGGGAGATGGCTCTAGAACAAGAGCGACGAAAGGGCAAGACTAGAGAGGGAGATGGAACAAGAGCGAATTGAAATGGAGAGAACATTGGAGAAGGAAAGGGTGGAGAGAGAGAGAGCTCTGGAGGACGAGAGAGGTAAAGCCATTGAACAGGAAAGATTAGAACGAGAAGAAGCTGTGAGGAATGAAAAAAAGGAGCGGGAGAGAGAGCTCTCTAGCCTGGCTGAAAAAGGAAGGCAGAGTGATTCAGTTTCATCCAAATCTGGGCAAGAGGTTGGTCTCACAACCCTTTCCACTCCCACAACCCCCACCTCAGAACCAGATAGAAAGCCATTGTCTG